GTTAAACCGTGGACTTGGTACATTCTCAAACGTTTTGCCAGCATCGTAATCGGCATCTAAGTCTTCCTACCAATATGACCATGTTGCGAAAACGAGGTCAAGCAACCTTTATACAACGAAAGGAGACTGCGACCACACAAAAGGCCACACCATCTTGGTCTTCCTACCTTCGATTAAACCATTTTATAGATGTTGTTTGACCTTGTTTTCGCAACTTGTTCATACTGGTAGGAAGACTTAGAGGAACGCACCTTGTCCTGAGTCCATTGTATGCATAATTATTTCCAAAGTCGGACGACGTGGTACATACCCAGACATTTCGCTGGCATCGTAGTCGGCATCGTCAGTGAGTTTTACCATTCGTAGTACCATAGTACAACTCGTCAAAAAGACAAGTGAAGCAGATTCTTTGACCAAACGTGTGCTAAACAGTTATGGCAACTCCCATTCTGCCCCGGCCTATTTACATTTCCTATATCCTCCAAACACGCATTTACTGTCACAATATTGTACTTGCTTAATTAACTGTGGTACGGTGTGCCCTTTTGAGTGGCTTTCATGAGAACCCTCCGCACTCTACGCTGACCTTCTTACCGCCCTTCATCTTTGTGCTGGGAATGTTGATCAGAGTCTGCCATATTGTTACGCAGTCCTCCTTCCTTAGGTCTTACCACAGTCTCTCTTGCCCCGCAAGATCCGTCTGCCCACTCTGGTTCACATATTTCACTCGACCCCTGCCACCCTATCTGTGCCACCCGAGGCGTTATTAGCCCTACCCTGCGTCTGGGTGACTAATTCGAGGCTAAAGCCTCCGAGTAAGTGTCATGGTCACGCCTTTGCCACATGGACCACGTCTCTTATAAAAACTACTGTCAGTCTACTAGCTCCCATTTCCGCCGCATCTATCCCGTTTCTATCTCTAATACCAAGTCTATGACTTCCCATGCTCTTGTGTGTCAACACACAAACGTTGTGGTTCAACATTGAACCTAACGAAAGCAAGCAGTACCACAAAATTTGTGGGTTAGCACACAAGAGACTAGGGCATGGCAAGTCATAGACTTGGTATTAGAGATAGAAACAGGATAGACGAGGCGGCAATGAGAGCTAGTGGGCTGACAGTAGTTTTTATAAGAGAAGTGGTCCATGTGGCAAAGGCCTGACCATGAGACTGGCTCGGAGGCTTTAGCCTCGAATTAGTCATCCAGACACAGGGTAAGGCCAATAACGCCTCGGGTGGCACAGCTGGGGTGGCAGGGGTCGAGTAAAATATGTGAACCAGGGAGAGGGCAGACGGATCTTACAGGGCAAGAGAGAGACTGTGGTAAGATCTAAGGAAGGAGGACTGCGTACAAATATGGCAGACTCCGATCAACATTCCCAGCACAAGGATGAAGTGCGGTGAGACGGCCAGCGTGGAGTGCGGAAGGTTCTCTTGAAAGCCGCTCAAAAGGGCACACCGTAGCATAGTTAATTAAACAAGTAAAATATTGTGACAGTGAAGGCGTGATAGGAGGATATAGGAAATGTGAATAGGCCAGGGTAGAATGGGAGATATCAGAACTGTTTAGCACACGTTTGGTCAAAGGATCGGCTTCACTTGTCTCTGACGCGTTGTAATAGCGTGCTACGAATGGTAAAACTCACTGACGATGCTGACTACGATGCCCGCGAAACGTCTGGGAACGTACCACGTCCACGGTCCGACTGGAAATAATTATGCATACAAGGGACTCAGGACAAGGTTCGTTCCTCTAAGTCTTCTACCAAAATGGCCAAGTTGCGAAAACAAGGTCAAACAACTTCTAAACCTTTTTATATTCATACGTAAGTTGTTATCAGATTTTCTGAAGAGTTCCTAACCTCAGAATGCATGCCCTCGCTTTAGGCTTAGTTTGATAAGGAAGTCTCCCCAATTCTGTATACATTTACATTAATCTACTTGATTTATTCATTTTCGATGTTGGCTTGCATAGATCAAGTACTTTTCTCGAGTAAACTTTCGGCCGAATTTATGCTAGATGAAGTCCTGATATTTATTATTTTACTTCATAATTTAAAAATGTTATGTACTATAATATGAATATTGTACTTGTGCATGAAAGCCTAATTTCCTAAGCTTTTTGAATTATTGCTTACTATTTACTTCATTTTTATTTCATTGCTTTAATTCAAGAGTAATGCAGATTTACGGTTTTAATTTTTCGTAATCAAAGTCTTGTTTTATTAATTATTTAGTAGTATTCTTGCCAAGCAATTACCTAAATAAATCATATTTTAGCGGATCGTCTCTATATAGTGATGGAGCTACTAGAGGGGGCTTCATTAGGAGAACATATTCTTGCTTTTGCTGAGCGCAATGACCGCTTTCAAGAGGAACGTGTCTGGAACATATTTATTCAGCTTACACTCGCTCTTCGCTATCTTCACAAGGAAAAGTCTATAGTGCATCGTGATCTGTCACCTAATAACGTTATGCTCGGAGAGCAAGATAAGGCAAGATATGATTAAATTGTCTTATGAAATGCAGCCCAATAACAATATAATTTGCATCCATATTTTTAACTGGATGATTGTATCATGGTTTTCTGCGAATTTCATTGCTCCATACTTAATAGTCTTGATTATTTCATCCTAACATTTCTCATCTAACCTGACATAATATGTTCGACTTATATAAAAATTTGTTTTAATTATCTAGTCAAGGTATAGGGGGACATACCAGCTCATTTGCAACCATTACTCAAAGTCAAACAAACACAATTTTGTATTCACCTTATATTTGGAATGAGGGCTGAAAGAAAGAATTCTTCCTCAAATTAAAAAACAATTATATACATTTCTTAACTAAGGGCTTATCTTTATACAGTGTAATAATAGTTTTCGCCTTAGAGACAGCAGTATGTCGTCTATAAGTTTCTTTAAAGTTTAATTAGAAAAGCTTTTTGTATGAAAAATCAAATAAATATATAGAAGTATTTTGATTTTAAGTGTCAATTTTTTTACATTGACGAGCAAATAAATTCAAATATTTTAAAGTTAGCAAAATGCCACTATATGTTTACTCTTGCATTAAAATATCAAACGATATAATCGATAAAAGTATTGTTTTGGCTCTACGGCTCTACGGCACTATTAATAAGTTAGTTAGGTATGAATTAGAAAATCTTTTTTGATATAGTCTCTACGTAATAGCTCCCTCGCCTTTTTTAGTACGTTAATAAGCTAATTTCTTATAAGCCTAATTATTTTATTTAGTCCTCCATATTCCCCATGCAGCCATCCGTATTCGTGTATATACCAATGAAAGCTTCAGAGTTTATGGAAATTGGAAAAATTGATTTTGATGGGCTAAGAAGTTATTTTAACATCATGTATCACATTCTCTGATTAATAAATGTTATACATCGTGACCGAACAATGCAGGAATTATGATGGCTTACATTTCCATTTAAATTCCTAAAAGTTATTCCTATCCAGAGTGAACTGCAGTTTCGACCTCTCCTATGTCTTATCAACATCCCCAAAGGGACTCTAACCATGTCAAGACAGCATATAATCTCGACGAATCAATCACTACGCCGCATTGCCAAGAGTGCTCTTGGGTCACAGGAAATATATGAATTTCAAAGAAGGCCGGGTATTTTCCCACATCGCATTATGTGGTGGGATTATACTAGCAAGTCGAGATTATACTCTGATGAGACCTCGGCGAGGTCGAAACTGCAGTCCACCCTGAATGTGAATACGTTTTGGGAAAGCAAGGCTATGTGAAATTCAATGAAGGTATTTGGTCTACTCATTTCAATGTGAGAAACTTCAACTAAATAGGATACTTTTTGCCTGTCAACTCTTTCTACCAACAGTTGGT